ATTTTGAAAGAATAACATGCCAAAGAATTAAATGCTCAAGTAAAACAGATTAAATAATATAGTTTTTATTTTATAAATTTTTTTGTACATTCGACTTTTGACTGATTGGGGTTCTCATGGTAAGACAAAATGCCACTGGAAAAAATGGAAATCTAGATAAGTCTTTTTTTTCTTAAAATAAGTGCATTTGTTCTTGGATTGAGGAGGTAAAAGGGACATTTTGCCAATGGAACAAGACAATTTACATTTATAATAAAAAAACACAATTGCATTGTCTTATATCAAGTGCATACTATCTAATTATCTTATTTTAAGAGTAAAACCATTCATTCCATTGGCAAACTACCTTGAATTAAAGGTAAATACACGTAATTTTAGAAATATTTACTCATTTGTAGATCATTTTTCCAGTGGCCCAAAGGCGTACACAAGACAAAAAAGGGTGGAAAACACTGTTCAAGTCAATTATTTGCTGAAGTATCGTTCCTAACTCTATGACACATCACAAGTTCATAGTTCTTCTAATTTATGTTTATTTTCCCTCAGAGTTTAAATTATTTTTTTTTTTTGTTATAAAAATGCTAGAAACAACAATACCCCCATTTTTTCTTTCTGGGATTTAAACCTTGCAGGACGTTTTAAGATCTGTTTGTTGTTAAAATGCTGAGAGGAAATAACAAAGCTGAAACAAAATCTTCCATTTTTTTTTTTTCAGTCTAAGCTTCAGCTAATGTTAGCACTGTAACACAGCTTCCTGGGACAGGAAGTCGGATACATAGCAGTTCCAAACGTCCATTTGATACTGCTTGTAAAGGTTTAGTCTGTTGTAGTTCATAGTATGCATATCAAGCATCTTAACAGAAATAAGCCTGTTCGGTATTTTTTTATTATTATTATAGTGTTGCTATAAACTAGCTTTGAATGATGGAGGCTATTTTAGTGTCTTTTTTCCCCAAAAAAATCTTTCAGAAAAGTTACTAAATAAAATCCATCTGCTGATCTATACCCTTTGATTTCTCCATAAAATTCATCCCAGCAGCCTGAATTGCTCTGTAGTTATTCGAGTACACGCTGTTATTGATGTATATATTCAAAGTGTCTCTCACATAGAGAGACACAGTAATTTATCTTGACACGCAGATGGCCCCTGCTCTGACCACAAATGTAGTGTAACCTCTGCTCCCTGCGGTGTGGCCAGGACTCAGCCTGCCAGTAAAAACGAGGGATGCTTCATGGCTCAACAATTCGCTGGCTTAATGGAAAGGTTTTGCTGGGTGACCTTAAACACTCTCCCCTGTGTCTCTTTTTTTCCACTCTTTCTTGATCTCATTTGCTCTTTTTGCGTGTCATTTTGTCCACATCTGATTTTACTGTCAGACTATAAGTCATATCTTATAAGTCTGTAAGTAAACTGTATTGCTTTATTAATCTCACCAGAGCTTCTCTGTCTTTAGCCTTTTCTCTTCCTTCAGTTATTTTGTAGACAAGTCTGGGGAAAAAAGACCAAAGCATACTTTGAGCATTTCTTTAAATTTACTTGACAGGCAGCATTTTTTGTCAGATAATTTTCTGATAATAAATATTGGGTTAATTTACTTCACAGTTAATCTACAATGTAAGTTGGGAGTTTGATCTTTTGATTTCATGACCAATTTTATCTTGTTATATATATGTTATATATGTTTGAAATACATACATAGGGTAAAAATATGATACTCGTTTAAAGCAGATTATGAAAAACACATCTTTATATAAACACAATTTGGTTGAATAAAATAATGAAAGGTTGATACTTTATAACAAAGATCATTTAAGAAACCTGTTCAGTTTTAATCAAAATGATGCAACTACTTATGGCTTACACATTCCTGTGGCAGCCTCACTGAACTAGTGACTCAAAGGGGAATCACTTGGTCCATATGCATGTATGTTTGTTGTAAAGCATGAATTACACACTGGAATTAGCTAGAAAATTATTCAGGCTATCTGCTCATGTAGCCATCCTGTTGTCGGCTTCTGTGGACATGATATATCCATAGTGAGAATTTAATTAGATGTTCATAATCCATCTAGTTTCTGAGCCTTGACTGTCGTTTGAGCCTGTAGAGATTTCCAGGCAGGTTCTTCCTTTATTAGGCTGAGTAAAAGTGTTAGGATGTATTTGAGCCAGCTGGGAGAGGTGGCTATACTTTATATATTGGCAGTGGCGCCACCAGGGGGTGGCCAGGGGTGCCCACGGCCACCCTTTGCAAATCCCTGGCCACCCCACTCGCCAGTGTAATTTGTAGCTGCATCAGTTTAGCATTTCATCCCATTATGCACAGCAAGAGCAGGAACATTAAAAATCACACAATAAACCAAGATATGAGTAGGTGATTACTTAAGTCGTTATGATTTCTACAGGCAGGTTTACCACAATAGTAGATTGAAACCCTGAAATTATGGCTTTTGGTTTCAGTGTGTGTTTTTCTATCTGGTCACCCCTATAAAACATTTCTGGAGGCACCAATGTATACCGGCAGAAACCTTTAAGCAACAAAGCATTTTCTTCACCATCTTATTTAAAAGATAATTGGTGGAAAGTGTCACATCTTGGTTGAGGTTTTGAGGAGCCAAATGCAGAGGCAGAGAGGCTGAGGTGAATACTTGTAGTTTAATTATGAAAATGGTTAACAAAGGCAGTCCAAAAATCCAACCAAAAATGTAACAGACCAGAACCATGGAGACATTGAGGGAAAACACGTACAAGGAGCCAGGGAGAGACGAGGTGAGAGGACCACAGCGATGACAGGACCAGCAACAACAAGGAGTGACTGCAGAGGGAGAGTATATGTAGCTGACGGACAAAGGGAGGGCTAACGAGCTGACAAGGAGCAGGTGTGAGAGGAGACAACGAGGGAGGCAAGGGGAAAGGAAAATACACACACTAGGGCAACAGAGGACAACAGAAAAACATGAGAACATAAATCTAGAAATTACAACAAAACTGGAATTAAACCAATAAAACTAGAAAACAAGGAGCAAAGTAAAGTACAACAGAACCAAGCCATGACAGAAAGACATTATTAAAATGTTTTGGTTGAATATAAAACTTCACTTGAATATCCAGAGATTACCAGACTTCCCGATCTACACACACCTCCTCCAGGGGGACCCCAAGGCGACAACAGGCCAGCTCAGCCTCCTCCCAATAGGACATGTCTGGAACACCTCCCGAACAGATGGCCGAGCCACCTCATCTGGCTCCTTTCGACGTGGAGGAGCAACAACTCTACTTTAAGCTCCTGCTGGGTAACTGTAACCAGTTACCCGGTGCGCACAGCAGGGTGCTCACAGCAATCCTGCAAAGGAAACTCATTTCAGCCGCTTGTATTTGTAATCTTTTCCTTTCGGTCATAATCCAGATCTCATGACCATAGCTGAGGGTGGGAACATAGATCGATCGGTAAATTGAGATATTTGCCGCCCGACTCAACTCCCTCTTCACCACAACAGTCTGATACAGCGACCGCATCACTGCTGCACCGATCCGTCTATCTTCAATATCAGTAATCTTATTAAAACTAAGGTACAGATTCAGAGTTCATTTATTTTAAGAGATTTTCAATAAGTTTGAATAGAAATCATGACAAGTTTTTTTGAAAGTTAATGATTTGTTCTGATGTCCCTGTCAGAGATTTTCAACAAGCCCACATTATGTTATACGTTACACGGACATAAGATTTGTTTTTACAAATTATGAGATATTGTTTTATAATCTAGCTCTTCTTTAAACTTCTCCCTAACTTTATCTCTGACCTTCCTACCGTCATTCTTGGTCTTTATTATTCTGCTTGTAAACTAAACTAATAAACCCACAGGACAAATAGATTCACACATATGTGGAAATTCTTTTGGAATTAAAGACTTCTTACACTTTTTCAGATTTAGTTTGAAAGAAAACTAGAAAAACCTATTTGCCCTTTCTTCTCAATTGCATGATATTGTGTGTTGATTCCTTACATGCACTCATAATCAAAAACATTTAAATCAACTGTTGTAACATGAGAAAAAGAGAAAAGGTTTTCGACGATGGGTGTAGAGATAGATTTCCTCTAATTATGTTGCTGTAACTTAAACTGAAATCTGAGATAAAACAGCAAACGAACATAAACTTTTCCAATCTGTAGCTTTTTAACTATCTCATCTCAGAGAGTTCAGGCTACAGCCCACAAATATGAGGTGGGTTGCATATATTTTAAAAGACAGTCCAAAATCTGTTGGGGTTTTTTCAGGAGTTTAGAGACAAAACTTTATATAGAAGGAGAAATAAAATACAGAACAATAGGAGATCATAAAATAGGCAAACCTCACTTAGGTACTTTCTATCTCTGGCCAGTAAGGCATAATCTTGATACCACAGTTTTTGCTCAGACAGTATAAATCTATGAAATATGGCTCTGAAATTCCATACTGTGTTTTCCTAACATGAGAAAACCTCAGGACGTGTGAGTACATGCATAAAACCAATATCGGATCCAGTTTTTCTCTCACCTTGAAGCTTTAGAAAGTCCAACCAGGTGGCTTCAGCCACACATAGACAACTTTAAAGAGAGAGAGAGAGGAAGGGAAAGAAAGATTTTTCAAATTTGATGGGACAGCCAGGGATCGGGGTTGGAGGGAATGGGGTTTACGGTTAACTTTCCTTTAAAGGGTGTCAAAAAGGGAACTAAATTGGGTGTCAGAAAGCAGTAAGGAACTGAAATAAGTCAGGGTCTCCAGGTCCCATGTGGGTGGGTGCCTGCTTTATTCTTTTCAGACAATGTCCCCTTAAAAAGCCCTGCGTCTGGAAAGCCCATTAGACCTGTGTATAAAATCCCCCCGACCCACCTACCCTATGCCATGATTAATAGATGATGAGGACGGGTCGGTTGGAGGGTACTACCAACATGTGGACGGAGTGGGGCTCCTCCTCCTCCAGGCTCACATTTCACTCCATAAACTTGCCACTCTTTCCCACCTATGTGTTTAAAAAGGAGGAGGGCTCGCTTGTCATGAATGCCTCAGAAGAGTTGTGAAAACAACCAGCCGAAGAAGGGAGTCACGCAGTTGCAGATGCAGCTCCCACGCTGAGACACACAGTCAGGTCCTTCAGGGAAAGAGTGTGAGAGAGTGTGAGCAGAAACGCTGGGGGACTGCCAAAGAGAGAGCGCTGTCACTGGAAGGCATCTATCCTCACACTTTCTGGGCTGTAAAAGAATCATCAGCCTCTGACAGAAGTTAGAATTCTGCAGCAGATGAAATGAGAGCTTTGATAAGTTATATGTAGGCAAAAAGGAAAAAAATACAGGTTTCCAGTTTTAGTTTGCTTTCAGAGGAGGCTTTGAGCTCAAGAAGAACTCTTAAGATTGAGTGAAGTCCTTCTGCATTACCATGGATCAGCCAGCCAGCAGCTGCATGCGGAGCACCCATCCTAGCAACCCCATCTGGGGGTGCATGAGGAACCCCCACTCTGGGGTCCCAGGAAGCAACCTGCAGTCGCCCTACCAACAGGGCCCCTTCTCCATGCACCAAAAACCTGAGTTTCTGGCCTACACGGACTTCTCCACTTCCTGCTTGGTGCCAAGCGCGCCCCATGCAGCCTACCCTCGTGACGAAAGACTCTATCAAGACAGCCACGGCGGTTACCCAAGAGGCGACTGGCAGTTCAACCCCTGTGACACCCGGTCGAGATCGACCGATGCCTGCCCGTCTGCTTCAGCTGCGGTTGTGGGCACTGGAAGTGGAGGAGGTCCTGAGCTGGAGAGCGTGGGGACCGAAAGATTGCCGGGCAGCATGCAACCTGGGTCTCTGGATGGAGAATACTCACCCCAGAGCGTGGCTTCAGTTGACTCAGACAAGAAGAGCTCAAACAAAAGGAAGAGAGATGTCACAGGTGAGTGAGTCATGGTGCGCAGGGACAATTTTAAGGCAGGACAGGGTGTATTGCATAGGATCTGTTATGGACATTGTGATTTAAAGTGCTTTATGGGAAAATATGGGAGAGATAAAGAAAATGACAATATAAGAATAGAGGAATGATAGTACTATACAGACCTAACGTACATATAAAAATATAAAAACGCTAAAATGCCAGTTGGACATTTAATCCAAAAACTCTAAACAGAAGCAATCTTGAAATAAAACCTTAAAAAAACAATATCTTTCTATCTATTCATCCCGTGTCTGTAGCTTTTAACTTTGCATGGTCTCTGAGAATTTTAGCATATTTGAATAGTTCACAGAAATGGGTCTGCTGTACTTTGCCGTAGTTCAGGATGGAAATAGGTGGAAAATTAAAAACAAACTTCATCCAGTCAAATCAACCTTATTTTCCTCATTAAAAAATATATGTACAACATTTAAGACAAATATATGTGCAAAATCAATGCCACATATAAGCTTTCCGTAAATCTTGTTTCAAGATAAAAAAAAATGTTCTTCTTTGACCTGTATCACACCGCGGAAAAAATAAACATTCCCGCTATTTCCTCGTCAAATTAAGCTTACAGCAGAAGTTCTCTCTAAGGATTGCTGTATGAAAGATGATTAGGTGACAAGACCTCAGTGGTCAAGTCGCTCTTGAAGCTGCAGTTGTATCCTCTTATTGTCCAACAGCTTTGAAAAGTCTGAAATGATTCACGAGGTTTCCCAATGGCTCATTATGTCTCTGTATCCGTGGGAAACAGAGTATTGTTATTAACCATTGCATCTACGTTGAGTGCTAAAAAATGTGCATGGGAAAATGTTTTCAACCGACAGATTCTACAAATTACAGCAAAAAAAAAAAAATGATGCAATGATTGAGTAAAAATCTAAACTGTTTTTTCTTTTTGCTAAAAAAAATATTGCTTAATGACTCCTTGGGTGTGAACTTTGCTTAAAGTTAGTTAACGTGTTTACCTTTGAAACTAGTAGCACAAGTAAAGCTGCTGGACTTTAATGTCATTTACTCATCATATCTGATTTCACACTTGCTAATAGGAGGTGAAAGTAACTGATAGGCATGACGGACAGATTCCCAAAAGTCTTTGGCGTAACTTTAGCGGCAAAGACAAACAGACCAAAGGAAACGTTTATTTAAACTGAATCTGAATGCGTGAAATGTTCTATTCCCCAGTTTTCATTCTGGTAAAATGAAACCGTGTCTAACATGGTTTAATTTACTTTACAAGCAAATTTTAGAAACACTATTGTTGTTAATCTTCTATTTTCCTTCCTCTAATAACTAAATTCGTTCTAAAGTGTCAGATCAGCATTTATCTTTGTTATTTAAAAAGGCTCATATTCTGAAATACAAATGGTCATCTGTGTCATGCTGGATGTATCCCTCCAGGAAACAGGAAGTTGTGGATTATGAATTAAAAGTTTGTTGACACTTGCCAAATTTGAAAGCATAGAATACAAAAAAAATAAAATAAAATCCAGCCTCTAATACCAGTAGAAACTGCTATTAAAAGCTTCTTTTTTCAGAAAATCATCAAAGTTCTGGCTTTTAGCATGTTTTCAGGGTTACCTATATTAGTACGTTGACAGTAAGGGAACAAAAGATTATCTAACGATATTTTTCGAATACTTAATGAAATATCTGGGATAACATATTAAATCATGCGCTATTGCTTTACCCAGAAATGTTTTATAAATCTGGATTAATAAGATTTCCTTTTTTAGTTGTTTGTCTTGTTTTTTTTTGTTTTATTTTTTGACAAAAAGATATTTGGTCTTCCAATAATATTTCTTCGAAAACCACATATGAGCAAGAAAACCAGAGTTAATTAAATAACATAAAATAATCATCATAAATCTGTATTACCGTACTTGAAGGACCTGTTGCTTTTTCATTGTGAAAAGGAGCTAAAACAAATGGAATTGGACTTATTTATACCCAAAAGGAAAATGGAGAGATAGAGAAACTAATAAGATCAACGTGAAAGAAAAAAAAAGAGTATAATAAAAAATGTTTTAATCGCATTTCACTTTTTAAACTTCTTAGGTGTGCCTGGTGATGGCAGTGAATTAACTGTTTGTTGATGGGGATAATTTGTCCCTTAATTAAACAAATCCACTCAAATCCCGTCTGATTCTTTTTAAAGATGTTGTTTGGCGACGACTTTTTTAAAATAAGAGATGGGGGAGGACCCCCCCCCACCCCCCACCCCTACTTGCCTTATTGTAACCTCAACTCTCTCCCCTGAAAACAAGCCAGACCACGTCTGGTAAATTCACTTTCCTCCAAGCCCAATTCTTACATTCTTATCCATTGACATTTTCCTGTCGTTAAGCCGTAACACAATCTCCCAATGAGTGCATGCAACATGTCTGACCACTGCATCAGCTCTCGGTTTTAGAAAAAAGAGCCACTGGCCTTTATAAAATTGACAGGCTGGTAGAAAGCATATATTAGGAAAATGCCTCGAAGGCATTTGCATGACAGACACAGCTGCTGTGCAGTCATGATGTGTTTCAGACAGGAATCCTGCCAAAAATTTGAAAGCAAAAATCCTTTAATCTGACATTAACGTCAAGCCAAAGATTCCACTTTAGGTTGTACTGTAATCATTTATGTGAGAGATGCTGATATAAGCTTCTGTGGACCATCAGTATGATCATTAAGAAGGCCAGGTATGTTAATAGGCAAAAACTGTCTAATGAGAGTTTATAGATTATATAGTATTATATCTGGGAAAGAAAATTAAATTATACTTTTTTGTTATTTTTCTTTATATTTTTTAGTAGTTTCTGTCCAAATATAATGAGTCTTAAAAACTTTAAGGATTTTTCTAAATCATTAATCCACCACTAATGCAAAAAATCTGATTGAATTAATCAACAAAATGCATTGTTCCTCAATTTGTTTTACTAATTAGTTATTAAGCATTAATAGAAATCTAACTGTTTTAAAATGCTAAATGAAAGCTAATATAAGGAAAATATATCTGATTGTATTTCCAACATTTACACATATATTTTCACCTCAGCTCTACTAAATTACAACGGATTTAATTCTGTTTAGATTGAGTGAACAGCTCTCAGACCGTCCACCTAAAACACCAAATGCTGTTTTCTTTGGGACCCTGCTGAGTGTAGAAGCCTCCATCATGCAAGTTTTACAGCCTCTGGCTGAGCAGGATATTTATTAGTGGGTCAAGAGGGGGTGGCGGGGGTGTAAGTCAGCATGTGGCCTGCCAGGTGTTCACTTTAACTGTAAATTGTTGGACACAGCTCTAGACCAGAACACTCTAAACAGGGCATCATTTGTGACACTTAAATATTTTCGTCCCAGACGAGGATCAAACATTGCACTTACAGGCAGATGCATGCATATAATGTCTCACCTTGGACATTTTCCATTTTGGTCAACTGTTCTGGCAAGAATGAGGAAAAACTACTCACTCTGACAAATAGGAGCAATTTTCGGTGGGTTGCAGAAACTCGTAATGTGGAAACAAATTACACAATTATCACCCAGGTTTTACAAATGAAAACTGACCCTCATTTGTTTGTGTGTTTATTCTGACTAAGATAAGGTAAGATAAGATAGGACTTTATTGATTTCACCATGAAATTCACTGACATCAGCTCTAATAAACAACAGGAGATGCAAAAGAAGGAAAAGGTGCAATAAGTATTAAAAGTCAGGCTTAAAAATATATATATAAAATATATATATATAAATATTTTTTATTTAAAAAATGGAGATTTAAGGTTTCTTATAAACAAATATATTATTTGTGCAAGTGTTGTGACAAAGTATAAACAGTATGGTTGCAGGATTGTTAAATGAGTAAATAAATAGAAATAGAAAATAAAAAAAAACACAAAAATCTACATTTTAAGCAAAGAAAAATGGGAAAAAAGAGATAGATAGATAGATAGATAGATAGATAG